AGCTTTCCAACACTCCATAAAGTGTTGCACCTGAAAAAAGCACAAAGTTATTTGCCAGAGTCTATTGGGGATTTAATTTATTGATGGAAGAAATAGGTAAGCTGATTTACTTCTCCTAGATTTAGGCCTTCTGTGAGACACCTAGATGAGACAGCATTAATACTCTGCTAACATCACAGTGATAGACAGGAATACAAACCATGAAAATAGAGCTGCAGATGAAAGACCAAACAACTTCGCTTTTCTTTCCTATGGTGTTTGGTTTTTACCTGCTGTGTCATAAATGTCAACAACCTCTAAGTCAATCTTGTTTAGTGCAAGTTAACAGCTGTCTCTGTATTACCAGGATATGCTGGTTTTCCTGCCATGCTCTGATGTGTGCTCCTACAAACTTCTGGACCATTCATAATGCCTAATTTTCACTTGGTTCTATTCCTTCTTCCTTTAAGGATATTCTTTGTTTCTGTTGCCATGTTTGAAATAATTTTTGAAAGTCAGGGTAATATCTCTGAGTAAGGAGGCACTACCACTGCACAAAGGGACCAACTCAAAGAGACTAATATGTCTTCCTACTTTGGTATCTAGTGCTTTACCAAACTGCACAATAGCAGAGCATTTTCCAAGCACATTTAAAGGGTGATCTGAGAGCCATGCACTCTCCACCCCCTTTTTAATTACCTCTAGCAAGAGCTCAAAGCATCAAAGGTGTGTTCCAACATCTCGAACAGCACACAGAATAGCATAGCATGAAAACAAAGCTGGTCCAAAGCTTCTGAGTAGCTCAGGAAAAATAGCTTTCTGCAATAAGTCAGCAGCCCTTACTGAGCTCCCAATATATGGACCAGAAAAAGAATTGGGTGATACAGGAGCAGAGAGACAGAAAACAGGGTGCATACCCCAGCAGCAAGACCATGTCAGGATGCTAATGCTCACTCTAGGTAGCTGCCTACTGTCTTTGTGGCACAGGCACAAAGTGAGACAAGTAATCTACCATTACATCCAACCACTGAGTCCCCAGTCAAATGATGAGTTCACCATAAACAAGTAGGTCAACAAGGGATACCTTTTGATGTGAATCCAGAGAAAGTGCTGGATCAATTCTTCTGAATTCACACTATCTAAACTGTTCTACAACCACGTGGCTTCTGGGACAGGTATGTAGTAGGTACTGCACAGTAAGATGATTATAGTGGTTCAAATGGATGTGCCATTATATCCAATATACACTGAAGACCCATTTAAGTCATGGGCTATCATATACCTTAATGTTGACTAGGCTGTGTGTCACAGCTGACCTGACGGCCAATGAAAACAGAAACAGCTCAGGTACCAACATTAATACTCTAGCAAAATCAGATATCAGGCAGAAATGAAGTGGAAGCAGTCACCACTTATGGTCTTATCTGTTTGTGTCTAATAACCTTACTTCAGCTGATACTGGGCTGGAGAGCATGCTGCTGGGCTGTGCTCTTATTTTGTGGTCACATTGGAAATACTTACCTATACCTATTTGGGACTCAGTCCCAGGCCCTAAATATAGTAATCTAGTCTGTACTTCCTATAGGAGTGTAAATAATATTGTGTTCATTTCTAGGATCATTTATCACATTTACTTGACTGCAAACAGTCCACAAAGACAGCTAAAATTAACCTTTTCGGGGATTTACATGTGGAAAATTTCAAGAAGAACCTTGAAGAACAACAAAAATAGCTCACAATCATCAGCTAACTAGATGAACAAAATCTGTCTTTCTAACTGAAATAGATAATTTTAATTTTAAGAATTTTGAATGAGAGAACAGATAAATTTGTGTGGAGGACTAAATTCTTGGAGGATTTTTATACCATCCTCCAAAATTTTGAAGAAGGTGCTATTGCTACTTCTGCTGGAGTAGCTTCTGCTAAGGTCCATACAAGCCTGTTCCCCAGGATCATGTAAATTAGGTCAGTCTTCTTTTAGACGGGATACCTCTGCTGAAATCTTGCCTCTGAATGCAAGTCTCCTCTATAGACAACTTACTCAGTATATACTCACTCACTATACTGAGTAAGCATTTCATAACATTCAAAAGTGGAACTTTAGAAGCATGTCCAGAAACATCCGAATTATTTGCTTCGAAAATATGAAAATATAAACATTTCAAGCTTTTACATTTTTCTCTCATTTGTACTTGTTTAACAAAAACAAACAAACAAAAAAACAGAACAAAAAAGGGTGAAATGTACAAATTGGAAGTTATCCTGAATTTAGACAGGCACAAAGTTCCATTTTGGGCAAAAAGAAATTTCTCAAAAGCAATTTTGTCTAGCCCTGCAAACCAATACACTTTTAAGGAGCCTTATACTCAAAATAGAGCCAAAACTGTAAGCCAGCGGCAGTTTGCCAGTGATGTCCAGTTTCTCCTAGGTACAATAGTACCTTAGACATATTCTGAGGTACTAGACTTCATGAGCAGCCTGACAATTTTAAGTCATGAACTGGAATTTCTGAGCATGCTACTTATGAACCTTCTAGGTAATCTGTCTTGGAGGAATTCCCTGAAAAACTGTAATCGCATCAAGCGTTTGCATTTTCTTTCCAAATTTTGCACCCCAAAACATCCCAGAAAAATGTAAAGATTGGTTCTGAAACATTTTTCCTTTTGCAGCAAATAATTTGCCAAGCACAAATCAAAGTACATGTCAAATTTCACGGTAGTTTAACACCCTTCCCAGCAAATCCGGAAGACATTTTATGTTAAGTTTGGAAAAATATTTTAAAATATTTTTTTCCATTAACAGGGTTCCTCCATGGATGAGAAAAATGGTTTATTTGAATGGCTCTAATTCTGAGGTCCCTCACCCTTCCTTTTTGTGTGCAGTGTGACATTAACAAGTCTGCAGGAACTCCAGTCTTACTTTTCCCACCTAATCACCTGCTCCAACTTGTGTATTTTGCTAGTGCCACTTCATTTTGAAACTAAGCAGATCAGTGATTACATGCAGCTGCATGTTGGCATGAATAATGCTTTCAGCTTTTGAGCTGAGCATTGTCAGAGCTTTGCTCACCTTTCTATGGACTTGTGTGTCATACTGTGTGTGGGTTAGCCCTTCTGAGTGCTGTAAGAGATTTTATAATATTTTTACTATTTTTAAAAACATGTAATTTACTAAGAGAAGACCAGATTGCACAGGAAGAGGTCTTTTTATACAGTACAGTCTGGGCTCTGAGATCCATCTACATTAAGTTAGTATTTGTTTAGGTATGACAGTGATTGTTTGGTAGCTGAAAATCTTAGATTTTTTTTTTTTTTTTTTTCCAAAGCATAACATTGCCGCAAGCAACAGTCTAGATTTAGGTGAACTCATACTGTGACAAACTGAGAATGGAGAAAACACATTTCTTGTCCATAAAAGGACAGATCACACATCCACAGAGGGTAGCTCTCATTTTGCTGCAGTTCCAAACTATGAAGTGGGGACTCACTGTTGCTAAATGAAGTTTTGCTTAGGGCAGATAGAGGATTCTCCAGTAAAGCTTTTTTATTATTATTATTTTCTTTGTCTTCTCAAATAGAAAATGGTGATTTGAAGAAGTGGAAAATATTATGTTTAAGAGGTCTAATTTCTCTGCAGTTTCTTCTGGGAAAAACAGTACCCAGAGCATCACTGGCAGGCTGAGGGAGGGGATCCTTCCCCTTAGCTCAGCACTGGTGAGGCCACATCTGGTGTCCTGTGTCCAGTTCTAGGCTCCCCAGTACAAGAAAGACATGGACATATAGCAGTGAGTCCACAAAGATGATTAAGGGACCGGGCATCTGTCATATGAGATGCTGACAGATCTAAGGCTGTTCAGCCTGGAGAAGAGAAGGCTCAGGGGGATCTTATCGAAGTTTAGAAATACCTGATGGAATGGAGTAAAAAAGACAGAACCAGGCTTTTCTCAGGGGTGTCCCAAGACATGGTGAGAGGCAATGGGCACAAATTGAGATACAGGGGTTTTTTTGGTTATGTGGTTTTTTGGGTTTTGTAATTTTTCTTTTTAAATGTGAAGATGGTCAAACACTGAAACAGGTTGCCTAGAGGGGTTGTGAAGTGTCCATCTATGGAGATATTCAAAACCTGACTGGGCACAGCCCTGTGCAGACTGCTCAAGATGACCCTACTTGGGGTTCTCCTGAGGATACTTTGAACTCCATCTGTTCTGTGTTCTGTAAGTCTGTGCCTTCATCCCAGAGCGCTAGTAGTCTGACATGTACTGGACACTTTTGCAGTGCAGAAAAATCAAGTTCAAGACTGCTTTGAGTCTTGAGCAGTACTACAGCCAGGGCTTCCCACATGGAATACTTTCCCTTACAGCACCAGAGAGAGAAAGAAAAAGAGCTATCGAAACACAGTAATTATTTCCCAGTATATGATAATGCTCTTAGGCTAAAGTTTAATACAAGTCATTTGAGGGATCCATGAGATGTCAACACACAAAAATTGACACCACTTTGCAAAGTCAGAACTTCTTCATTTTACACCATTAGATAGTTTACTACTCTGCATAATCTGGTAATTTTGAAACTAAACCACTGTAGAACAGACTCTATGAAAGTAACTTGGTCTCTCTCTGCTGCCAAGACCCAGATGTGCTGTTCCAAGAGTAGCTACCTACCTCTGTAGAGAAAAGACCTGACTGACATATCTCATACTGTACATGGAAAGAGGAAAAGTGAGATCAACCTAAAAAAATAATGAAATATAGGTGAAACATTTAAAAAAACCCCAAAAAACCCAAACAAACAGAAAACCCACCAAAACAAAAAAAAAAACCAAAAAACCCACCAGAAAACAGTTACATTCATTATATAAAATAACAAAAAAAAAACAATCTTAAAATAAATACATGGCCTATCTGTATCTATAAGGTGCAGAAGATATAAGACATGATTAAAAAAATCCAAATTTTCATGTCTACATGTCTAGTGAACTTCCTTATTGAATTGGTTTTATGTTGACTTTCCATTTCTTTGCAGATCTTACAGGTGAACAAGGTGATGTCCATCTTGTTTTATGTGATATTTCTCGCTTATCTTCGTGGCATCCAGTCTACCAACATGGATCAAAGGAGTTTGCCAGAAGATTCAATAAATTCTCTTATTATTAAACTCATTCAGGCAGACATTTTGAAAAACAAGCTTTCTAAACAGATGGTAGATATTAAGGAAAATTATCAAAACACAGTGCAGAAAGCAGACACTCAGCAAGACATGGAGGGAGATGAAAATGTGAAATCAGACTTCCAGCCAGTTATGTCAATGGATACAGACCTCTTAAGGCAGCAGAGACGCTACAATTCTCCCCGAGTCCTCTTGAGTGACAACACGCCCCTGGAACCACCGCCGCTGTACCTCACGGAGGATTATATTGGAAATTCAGTGGTGGTGAACAGAACCTCCCGGCGGAAAAGGTTTGCAGAGCACAGGAGCCACCGAGGGGAATATTCCGTTTGTGACAGTGAAAGTTTATGGGTCACGGACAAATCATCTGCGATCGACATTAGAGGACACCAGGTAACTGTGCTGGGAGAAATTAAAACAGGCAACTCTCCAGTTAAGCAATACTTTTACGAAACACGGTGTAAAGAAGCCAAGCCTGTAAAAAATGGTTGTCGTGGCATCGATGACAAGCACTGGAACTCCCAATGCAAGACATCCCAAACTTATGTTAGAGCACTGACTTCAGAAAACAATAAACTGGTAGGCTGGAGATGGATAAGAATAGACACCTCCTGTGTGTGTGCGTTGTCAAGGAAAATAGGAAGAACATAAATCTACATCTCTTTGCTATATAAATTATTACTTTAAATTATATGATATGCATGTAGCATATAAATGTTTATATTGTTTTATATATTATAAGTTGACCTTATTTATTAAACTTCAGCAAATCTACAGTATATAAGCTTTCTCTCTCAATAAACAAGAGCAAAGGGTGTGTGCCTCTGCTGTGGGCAACTCCAGGTTTTTTTAGACTATGTTTGTGACACTGCTTGTCGGCAGCATACCGTAACCTTACTGTAAAATCTGTGTAAAATCAGTATTTTTCATTCAGTATTGTCAAGCCAGTGACTGTCATTTAGTAAACTTGTTAAAAATCAGATCAATGTCAAGAGTTGTGTACATATTTATATTCCCTACTCTATACATTCACATTTAATTGGGTGCAGTGTTGACTCCTCACCACCAAAACAAAAATGGACCAAAGTATGTTGTAGCCTGCAAATGATGTCAACATTACAGGCATCAAACACAATTTCTGTGCATTGTGACAGTTTTGCCAGTGAAATGACATTTTGCCCCTGTTAGCATTTCAGAATGACTGCAAATAATCCAGCAACTTTCGTTAATGTTTTTGAAGCACATTTGCTATGTAATTGTTTTTTATGCAGCCAGTTCGTCGTAGAAAAAATATGAAAAAAATCTAAAATATTTGTAGCAGAAACTTACTGAAACCAAGAACCAATCTAAATTGATGATTAATATAATATATAAAAGATTATTACTTCAGAATTTACTATTTATTGTGATCTGCCTCTTCCTCCTCACATGAATCAATTATCTTCTGTTTGCATTGTTGCATCATTCCTCTCTGTCTGAGTTTTTATAGTAGAAACAAAGCTGGCAGGGACTTAACATTAAAAGAGCTCTTGGCTTGCAAATTGTAGTAAAGAAAGATATGATATCCTGGCATGGTTATCAAAGCCACACAACCGCATGAAGCTATTCTCCTCAGCAATCCATCCTCCATTTTCACAGAGGGAAAAATGTGCAGAACTACTAGACAAACCTGATAGCTTCATAGGGACATGAAATAATATATCTTTTTGAGCAGTATAGGGACTAAAATCCAGGTATTCCATAGTTATAATGAAGTTCTTCAATTATACAGGTGAGTTGTTACTTAGGATGGACAAACGGACTAGCTTATATGTACCTCAAACTCTTCTTTGTATTGTTATGTAGCTCCACTGGGGACAGTAATAATTACACTACTTGAAGAGATAGTGTATTATACATTAGATATATAATGCCCTAGATGGGATTCCATTCCCATAAAAGTAAATAAGAATCTTGTCATGGGTTTAAACAGAATTAAGATTGGACTGCATTTTAACTATGTCTACCTGGATCTGAACACACAGTCAGGGTTGAAAAATGCCAGCCATTCAAAAAGCATGACAGCTGTAGTGGTCTTAGGTTTTTACAGTATAGTTTTCACTGTTGTTGTGTGTTCAGCATTGCAAATGAGAATGAGATCAGAGCTCTCTAAACCAAGGTCGCAGGAGGCCTTTGCTCATAGAGAAATCACTGGAGAACCAACTTCAAAACTGCAACGGGTCATCAAAGGTAGCAAATTGTGTGGTCTCCCTAATCCCTTACAGAGAGTGTTACACATCAGAAAACCACCAGAGAACTGGACATGTTGCTCATGAGGCTAAGCAGAGGAATAACTCTGAAAGCCAGGCTGGGGCATCTACGTATAATTCTGCAGGGGAGGCCATAAAAAAGGGTTTTGAGAACTATCTCAATTTTCAACATGAGGCCATGGTATTTACCTCACAGAAGATATCATCACCTCACAAGACTAAACCCTAATTTTGCTTCAGGAAAATCAGAACTTTAGAGGTTTGGTACCAAGACAATTGTTAAAAGGAAAGACAGTATGTCATGTAACAAGGAACTTGGTATCTGTTAGACCTGACTAGAATTTTTCCAGCATTCCCCTTCCTTGGCAAACATAAAAAAAAAAAAAAAATCCTCAACAGAACTTTTTCTAGTTTTACTAGTAAGAAAGTTTAAGTTTCAACAGGGAAAAATAATCTCTACCCATTAATTTTTTGGCTGGGAGGGACAAGCTTATTTTTCCAAGTCCTGTCTCAGTGACAATTTTTGCAAATTAAAAACCTAATTTTACACCCTGAATTCCCAAATAAAGGTAATTTTCAGATGCTGTGAGTAATTAAGAGCAGATACTGTCATGGATCTGTAACTTTAGAGATCTCCATGCTTCGGTATGGCAGATAGGTCTATCTCCATATGAGAAGAGGAAGTAAGAAAACTGTCTGAGCTTGGTGAGTCATTGTTGCTTACAGATCCTATATCCCATTAGTTGGAATCTACCTTGTTCTGACAGTGTGGATGCCATGTTTTTTTATATCACTTTAAATCCAGAGAAATTCTATTGGAGATGGATGAAAATATGTAGGTTTATAGCAATGTAAACAACATCAGAGTCGATCCTAATGCCTTTATTTCTGCTCACTGAAAATCAAGAGAGGTTCATTCTTTATACGTTCAAAGAAAACAATTTTTCATTTTCCACTGTAAATCTATTATCAGGAACTGGTCTTTGACTTAACTTTACCAATGCACCAAGTATTTTACAAGTGGCAAGCAAAAATGTATCAGAGTAAATACAATGTCCATCATCTGAAACACATTAAATGAGAAAGAAGCGTGTTGTGTAAGGTTATTATATTGACTGCCTCTTTCCCACCCCAGTATAACAATGAACGGAAGTGTTACCCTCTGGATCTGATCCAGTTTCTACTAAAGTCAATGGAAAAAATTCTCACCTTCTCTAGGGGAAGCTGGATCAGGCCCTGAGCAAAGAAAAACCTGCAGATCTCAACCAGAGAGTGGAGCAATCACACGCATCAGTTACGTGTTCTTGTAAATCCTGTGTACACATAAGATGCTGTATAATTTTGTAACAAGTTTGTAAACAAAGCCTGTAATAAATTTGTTAAGGCCTAATCCTGTTTTCACTGTAGCCGGGGATGGTTTTATTGTCAACTTCGGTCATGGCACAATGAATTTAAAATTCCTATCCAACTTTTTTGTATGTGTGTTAAGTAATTAAGCAAAATATTCAGCTCACAACACCAGTTTAATTTGGGTATTCTAAAACTCGTTCCCATTAGGCAGGTCAGATGTTCTGTCAATATTGTTTTGTGAATAGATCATTATAAACACACATTTTATTTAGCTTTTCTCCCAAACAACCAAATGCTATTCTGAAATTGCCTGTCTGCATCAAATTCTATTTTCTCCATTTTTTCCCCTAGTTTTTTTACAGTCCATTTAGTAACAGTAAAAAATGCTCCACTGAGGTTTTGGGAAACCATCTGCATTCATTTTATCACCTTTGAACATGTGGTCAGGAATGAAGTCTGTGCAGCGAGTTTACTGCTACCAAGAGATTTGTGCGGCTGCACCAGGAAGAAACTTTGACTGGACTATACAGAGTGTGTACTCAAAAGCACTCTGCTTGTACTCTGTTATTTCGATGCTTTAGCAATCACAGTCTTTGCCTCACCTGTACATTGTGTATCTGCAGACAATACCAAACAGGAAACAAGTCTGATTGGGAGTTCCAAAATTAAAAATTTAATGATAATGACCTGCTATTTCTGACCTTTCAGCAAATGCATTTGCGCAGCAAAATAAAGTGCGTAACAATTCATTTTATTTAATAGAAACATTCTGACAAAATCAATGGGATTCTGTGATCGCCACGCTTGGTAAGTGTATGTAATTCATCATGCATATGGTGGTGGGGGTGGGGGTGAGGGAGGATGAGGAGGAGGAGAGTATAATAAGCACTACAGTTTGTGAGAAGTAAAAGACTGTGCTTGAGTTGAAGCATTTTAAAGTGTGAAAAGGTTGTTTTCTGAAAAGCTTTGCCTGTATTTTGTTACAGCAGATGGCAGAATGACGAAGCAAGCACAGATGTGGTGCAAAAAAGTCAAGCAATATAAGGATAACAAAAACTTTCCTGGGAAAATTGGCCATTTGTTACTGCTGTAGGTCTGTGCATTTCTGAGCAGGTTATTGCAGAGCTCAGCAAAGATATTCTCAGTTACAGAATCACAGAATCACAGAATGT